CCATCGAATAGTGGGATTGACCGTCACATTATAACGCCCCCACGGCTGAAAGGGCGAGCATGTTTGGTGTGACGGGGGATTCGAACCCGCGACCCGCAGATAACGAGTCGAGCGCCCTAATCACCTAGCCATGTCGGGCCTATAAGCATGCAAACTTACACGCTGAACCACTTGGGAAGGCGAAGTTGAAAATAATAGTTTTACACATATAGATATCGTGCCTATTAAAAGAATAGAGGTGATTAGATATGAAAACTTAATCATTATGTAATATATTTATAATACAAGTAAATGTCAAGTTTCTTCAGCTAGGAGTAATTCTTTTTTCCTAATCACTATTACTTTGTTTCCAAACCTTTGAAGCATGTTTTGTATGTGTTTAAAGATTGAAACCTTTAAAAAGAATGTTATATCTTTCGAGCCAACAGAGAAGAGAAGAAATCATGTTGAAAACGTATGATCTTGTGTTGTCATATATACATGGAACGAAACTAAGGAAGATAGTGACGATATTCAAAATTCAGTTAATTAAAAAAACTTTGATAAAAAACAATCAACACAAAAAAAAGAAGGTCAAAATATTTGTGTTAAAAAAGAAAGAAAGAACAACACATTTTAAACATCGGCTTGAAAATACGTTTTGAATAAATGTAATTAATTTCACAAAAGATAACACATAAGCAACTTTAAATCTGTTAAATTCGATATATTCTTAGCCTGGTAGGGTAAGATTTCAAAAAAAGCTTTATCGCCTAGAGATTGACTATACTGCGCATGCTCTTAAATATTCCTTCTTTGTCGTTGGCCAAAAGTAGTTTTACACAAAATTCTGTAGTAGAATAGCTCTGGAGATCTGCGTAAATAATAATAATGATTGTTACTTTATACGAAATTAGAGAGAGCCACATAAATAAGACTGTTTGTTTGATTTTTTTTTAATTTCGCGCAGAGCTACACTATGGCTATCTGCGCTAGCAGTCCCTAATTTAACAGTGTAAGACTAGAGGGAAAGCAGCTAGTCATCAACACCCACCGCCAACTCTTGGGCTACTCTTTTACCAATGAATAGTGGGATTGACCGTCACATTACAACGCCCCCACGACCGAATAGACGAGCATGTTTGGTGTGACAGGGATTCGAACCCTAACCACCTGGCCAAATAAGAGTGTATATGGAAAAACTGATAACATTGAAATGCTCCTATTTTACAAACTCCGACGAAGCCACAATGGCGAAACATAGGTTGAAAGCAGAAAAATGTTTTTAAATCATCTGGACAGTAAAGGTCGTTTTTTCTCATCTTATTCACAGTTATTAAATGACATCAAGTTTGATTAATAAAACCTTTGAACACTTTGTAATTACAAATGAACTTTCCCTATATGGCCAGAAGCTTTCCAGTTGATTTCGAGGGATTATTAAAATGACGAGGCAATTATCATCTTTAGAAAACTAGGAATCATGAAAACAGGTAGTTTTGTTATGTTTTCCTGTCATAAATTACAAAGCTATTATTGTTATTAACAATATAAACAATGTTTAGGCATTGACAAGTCACTCATACATTGCTAATGGCACGAGGTGTATTTAAGTATTGTTACAAAAGGTTAGCAACATGGCCGCTGATGCGAAATCTATCAACAGCCAGGCTTTTTTTGCTCCAGCTAATATAGAGTGATTTGTTTTAATTAATCATTTCACAACTCGAAATGTAAATCATGCTGTCCAGGACCAAAAAAAATCTCATGACCTGAGGCAACTATTGAATTTCAGAACAAACACGTTGTGCTGAATTTTTTTGTAATGTTCAGTTGCTAATAATGGTGCTGCGGTGAATCATTTAGACCATTACATTTACCACGTATAAGAAACTGACCCAAAGTATTAGTACATATAAAATCAAACATGGCATTTAATTTTTCGTGTTTTAATACTAAACGATTTTACAGATAAAAGAAATAGTGGTAATTGTATATTTAATGACGCAATAATGATGTCATTCTGTTGAAACGAAATTTGAGGATCTCTCTGTCGATGCATCAAAAATAGTTCATGTCTTAATGAGTTGCATTTCCATTTTAAAAGAAGACCATCTATAACATTTTCTAAATTGTTTAATTTTATCTAGGCTAACAAATATTTGGCTAATTTTCTTATATATGATCTACAAGTATCGGAACTTACATACCACCCGAGTGTATGTTGTTATAAAAATAAATACTATGTTAATTTGCTTTATAGTTGTCAGAGTCTCACCATAAATTGACGAACTTGCAACACTAAAATCCAGGGTTCGATTTCCCGCGGTTGGCAGAACACAGATAGCTAATTTTGTATCTTTGTGCATAGTATTAAACAATCCTATCTAAGTCTTTTACTGTAACAACAGATAGCCTAATGTGGCTTTGGTCAAAAACAAAAAACAAAAAAATGTCTTTGCGACTAGATATAGGTTTAAAGAACCGGTTATCCCGATACAAATAGGTCAGCGGTAAGTCAGAAGGCTTACATCGCTAAAATTAGGTTTCAACGCCAGTGCTTGGCAAAACACAGATAGCCAATTTTATATCTTTGGGTGGGCCTAACATCAAACAACCGGATCCAAGTCTTTTACAAGCTGGTCCCAAAAATCAAAATTGTATTGATTAGCTAATCACAATTACAGAAGGTTTGTTTGTAGTTAAGCACAAAGGTCTATCTGTGCTCTACCCACCACGAGTATCGAAACACGGTTTCTAACCTTGTAAGTCCGCAAACATACCGCTGTGCCAATGGGAGGCAATTATAGAAGGACTTAGGTTTTCTTTAAATTTCAATACTTTGAATACTTAAGATAACTAAAAATTCTATTTCAGTCCAAGATTTTTCACTGAATTTCTTTTTTACTGTAAAATATTGTGCTAAAATGATCTTATTAATAGCATATTTTCATATTATTGATAAGTCAGTGCTGAAGAAAGCAATAATTTTATTTCACAATCCTTAGTATAACTGAGTGGTTTGTAATTAATTTGCTATCCAAGCCAACTATACATTTTGCCAGAAAGTCAACAGTTAACCATATGATTGACTGACACTTGCTTTGGCAGTGATAGACACGTTGGAAAAAGACTACAACCAACTTGAAATTTATATACTATTCTGGTTCATGTGTCATAAGTAAAGTTTACTGCACCTCTATCAGAAGTGGTCATTGTGTAATAAACATGACAAATAGTTACAATGCACATGTACTGGTCAAAGTTTTGACCTCCAATATATTTTGAAAAAGTCCCTGTCATAAAGTGGTATCATGAATGTCAAAACACCGTTTATCTCTCACCTTAGAGTAAATATTTAGGAAAATCTCTCAAAGATTGGTTTTTAAGGTAAAATGTAATATGTTTCGTTTATTTTCCCACTGTCGTAACCTACTATTATTGTCTAAGACCGAAATAGGAGTAAATAGACAGATATTATATTATTACTGAATACTCTGTCTAAAATTATATTATACTTTTGTTTCTAAAATAGCGCGGCGCGACCTAATGGTTAGCATATTGGGCTGCTTATCGAAGGGCCGGAGGTTCGAGGCGTGATGTTGCAAAAAATGTTCCGTACTTTCAGCTATATCATCGCTATAACTGTGATAATCAATCATGTTATTCGGTTCATAGATTCGGTCAAAGATCTTAAGACCGTGGGTGCTGATGACTAATCACTTTCCTCTGGTCAGAACTTCAAAATTATGACCCTATAGGACAACCATCCCCAATAGGTGGCCTGCAGGCCACACCAGACACTAGAAATCATGATTAGTGGTCTGCATTATGATCAGATATTGCAAAGCTGTTTTTGGAGAATGATTTATTCCCCAAAAACCTCTGACCTGGCCCTTAGCTTTGTGGTCATGATCTGAAGTTTCCCAATGCGCAAACTAATTGGAAGTCACTGTTATAGGGCCTCTGACATGACCAGTAAGCTCACGTGATAAAAAAAATGTCGTTCAGATTGATAATTCCAATTATTTCAAAACCAGTTTGTTGAATGTAAATAATCATAGATTGAGGATTCGACTCAAACGAAAGTCTATCACTAACATTCTGTAATAAACAAAAATCTAACATAAAGGTTCTGTCGTCTTGAACATTTTCTTCTTTTTGGTCAGTTATCATTTGTCCTGAGTCTATAGAGAAGAACCAGTGTATTATTGTAGAGTGATTTTTTATGTAAAGACCTTTCTCAACAAGGTATTTGTTTTTAGTTAAACACAAAGCTAGACAATGGGCTATCTGTGTTGTATCTTCCACAGGTATTGAGACCTGGTTTCTAACATTATAAGGTGTATTCAACAAGGTATTTTAAACTTGATGTAAAGCACCCTCTAGCGCTTTTTCGGTGTTTCTAAAACTTATACAGCTGCGAAAATCTAAGTAAATAAATAAAAGGTTTGTCGTTGTTTATAGTATATTATGTTTTTAGTTTATGATATGGCAAGTAAGAGCAATTTTGATGAAAATGAAAAGTTCATTTTCTTTAAATATTTTTCTTTTCATTTCATGCATTTGAAGATAACTTGGAGAAATTCTTTTTTTTTATTGGCAGGGTACAATCCCCTTACATCTTGCTGCTCAAGGAGGACACATGAGTGTAGTGGGGCTTCTGTTGAGCAGGGGGACGGAGCTTCTCCAAGCCACAGATAGAATTGGCCGAACTCCTCTACATCTCGCCGCTGCAAACGGCCACAAAGATATGCTGGGACTGCTGCTAGGACAAAACGCCGATATCAACGCCGCTGATAACGTAAGGCTATAACAAATGGTGGTCAACCCGCGGCTCTACAGCTGCATGAGGCTCTTCAAAAGCTGATATGCGGCTACTTAAAAAAGCATATTTCACTATGCCTATAATTTAAAGTAAAACGTTTTGACTTCAGGAATATAAGAAAATCTATGAAAACGTGTAGTTAAAAGGTTTAATTGATATTCCATTATATATATATATAATAAGAGCATTTTGGTAAAAGCAACAATATTTATATTATTTTATAATAAAAAAAGCATTTATATTGTCCAGAACCAGTGAGGTGGCACTACTGGGAGCCCCAGTTTCGTCTCGAACTTTATCAAAGTTATTAATATTATCATTCTTATTATTTTTATTATCATTTTTAATTCCGTGCATCTGTGGCTCTTCAGTGATGTACGTTGCGAAATTCTGGCTCCCTCCTTGCTGTGGATTGGACACCCCTGCTACAGACAGATATTAGGTGTTAAAAAACGAAAGTATAGGGAACATAGGTGAGTGTAGAAACATCGATAGGCAAGTTGACTTGATGAGTTTTGTAGAAAAAAAAAGGGAAAGGGATATTAATTTCAATATATATATCTATATAATCATCACATCAGTAGCGAATGTGGCTGTCAACAGCATCAAGAAACGAACGGTTTACCTCCAGTTCTATTCACGAGACGGATCCAAAAATATTCCATCATCTTCTGGAACACCCTCAGGTTATTTTTCCAAAATTTTATCTACTTTTATCACTGATTCCCGTGGAACGCTGTTATGGGCGTTCATTCACATAGTTAAAGTAGGTATGCAAATATTTGATTGTACTTGATCGTGCTTACCATTTCTCTACCAGATCTTTGCAAAAAAAAAACTTCGATTGGTCACCTTGTTGGATTGAATCGATTAAAGAGTAGTTTAGAAGGGGAAAAAAAGAGTTCACCCTGCTACAGAATGGCGAATAAAAACGATACAATGCATACTAGCTGATGTACCCGTTCAACGCAAGAAGACATAGGGACATGGGAGGTTATATAAATAGTCAGATCCGAAAACCGACGCCTATTTTACTCCCCGGAGACCCTACGGATACATGTCAGATTTGGTGACAATGAGTCCAGCGGTTCGCCAGTTATAATTGGACACACACAGAATTTTGTCACATAAAAGTTCAAACAGGTACTTTGAAACGTGCAACATAGATAATAATATTAATATCGTGGTCCCTCGGTGGCTAAGCGGTAAACTTCGGGGTTTGTAATGTTAAAATTCGAGGCTCTATTTCCCACGGTGGACACTGCAGATTGCTAAGAATAACAAACAACAATAATTTTGTAAAAAAAAAGCAGATTAATTTAACCATACTATCAGTATTGTTTATCTTTAACATTTACTATTATATATATCTCTTATGGTTGTAAAGAGTAGTTTGTGTTTAAAAAATAGAAGCTTGACTTTCTAACTAGGTAATTAAAGAAAGCATCTTCACTTTTTATATTCATATTTGCAGGTTGAAAAGCATATAGAGCTTGAATAAATAGATATACAGTTTTACTATCAAGTTTGTTTTTTAAAGCGTTACAGTGAAATAGAGACCAGATTATCTAGATGATTGAATTTATACTTTTAAAGACCAGGTTGTCTAGATGATTGTATTAATACTTTTAAATCTAGAATAATTGCTCTTCAGGATGTGAGAATTCACATAATTTTCATAATCTCCAGTGAGCGGTGAAATTCATTTTCAACATGGAAAAAAACTTAAATTTTACTTATGTTCATAACCTTTTCTGTTTGAAGTTTTTTCTATCAAATAATTCCTCGTTATATATAAAGTAACTATGTCCAGTGACCAAAATCAGTCTTGCACCCAGCGCCAGGCTTGTAGTAGAGCACGTGAGGCTACAATGCAGTATACCGGTAGCTGAAAGGAAAGGGAGGTAAAGAGAATGATGGAGAACACACGCTAAGTACAAATTATAAAGTTCACTATTGCATTTATGCTTAGTGATAGCTCCAAAAATGGCTAGCGTGCCGGATTTCAGAACTGAGGGTCAAATGCTCGCGTCCAGTTACCTCGTTAAAAAATAAAAAATCCGCGCTCCCCACTTTGAGGTTGTAAGTACATTATAAGGGTGATAATCAAATCCCACTATTCGTTCAGACGAGATTAGATCAAAAGATGACGGTAGGTACTGTTGAATAACTGCCTTCCTTCTAGTCTATCAGCTCGAGGATAGGAATAGTTAGTGCAAGTAACCATTTAGTATAAGCTTTGTGTGAATATTACAAAACAATCAAACAAACGGTATAAAATTTACCTTTTCTTACGCTTATTAATTTTTCCCGGGAGGAGGGGGAAAGAGATGAGAATGCACCAGATTTAGACATAAAAATGTGTTAAACTAATTATTTATAGACGGAAGTTTAAATATTGCTATTAATGTCTGAGGCAATGAAAAGGACCACCTGCAGACCATTTATTCAGTTCGCAATAAACTCAAATTAGAAAGGTATTATAGGAATTTTTAAAATAAATTTAATTAATTTTTTACTTTAATCCGCCTCTCTTTCATGTACAATGAATTGTAACATGGCTACTGTTTATATGTAAGCAACTTTTGTTCTTTCATTTTTATTATATGTGTGAATGATGAAATTAACCATGTTTCTGATAATGTTCGTGCTGTTGACAGAATGGCTGGACAGCCTTACATTACACAGCGTGTAGAGGATTTTTGGAAGCAGTGCAGTTCTTGATTGAGAGTGGAGCTTCTTCCCTATCTAAAACAAAGGTATGTTTAGTGTATAGTATAACCTTCCTGTCTAAAACAGTATGATTAGTTTATAGTATAACCTTCCCTATCTAAAATAAAGGTATGATTAGTGCATAGTATAACCAGTTCCCTGTCTAAAACATTGGTTTGTTTAGTTTATAGTATAACCACTTCCCTGTCTAAAACAAAGGTATGACTAGTGCATAGTATAACCACTTCCCTGTCTAAAACAAAGGTATGACTAGTGTATAGTATAACCATTTCCCTGTCTAAAACAATGGTTTGTTTAGTTTATAGTATAATCTTCCCTATCTAAAATAAAGATATAACTTATTGTATAGTATAACTACTTCTCTGTTTAAAACAACTGTGTGTTTAGTGTACAGTGTAACCACTTCCCTGTCTAAAACAGTGGTGTGCTTAGTTTATAGTATAACCTGCCCTGTCTAAACAAATGTACGTTTAGTGTATAACTTAACCACTTTCCTGTCTAAAACAAAAGTATTTAGTGTATATTATAAACAATTCCTATCTAAAACAAAGGTGGGTTTACAATGTACTTTTACCTTTCATGTCTAAAACAAAGTTGTGTTTACAATATACTATTACCTTCTCTGTCTAAAATAAAGGTGTGTTTATTGTACACTATAACGTTTCCTGTCTAAAACACAATATACCATTACCTTCCCTGTCTAAAACACAAGCGTGTTTATGAATATATTATTACCTTTCTTGTCTAAAACAAAGGTGGGTTTATTGTATTCTATAACCTTCCCTGTCTAACACACAATATACTATTACCTTCCCTGTCTAAAACAAAGGTGTGTTTACAATATACTATTACCTTCCCTTTCTAAAACAAAGGTGAGTTCATTGTGTACTACAACCTTCCCTGTCTAAAACAAAGGTGTGTTTACAATATACTATTACCTTCCCTTTCTAAAACAAAGGTGAGTTCATTGTGTACTACAACCTTCCCTGTCTAAGACACAGGCGTGTTTACAATATAATATTACCTTCCCTGTCTATTATAACACTTCTCTTTCTAAAACAAGGGTGGTTTACTGCACAGTGTAAGCTTCCCTTTCTAAAACAACAGCATTTTAATGCGCAGTATAACAATTTCCCTGTCTAAACCAAAGGCGTTTTTAATGAATACTAGAACCATTTCTCTGTTTAAAACAAATATTTGACTGTATAGTATAACAATTATCATAGCTAAAACAAACGTACTTCAAAGTACATTATAAACTCTTCCCTAGCTAAAACAAGGGTATTTTAAAAGTATATTTTGAACAGAAATATAACTAAAATAAAATAAAAACATTAAATTTGTAAAACTACTCTCATAATCATGATAATGAACTGGCCTACAAGAAAGACACACCAATAAAGTAAACTAATTGTTATAATGAGCTGATGAAGGAAACTAATTGTTATAATAAGCTAATGAAGTAAACTAATTGTTATAATGAGCTGATAAAGTAAACTAACTGTGGTGATGAACTGATAAAGTAACCTAATTGCAGTAATGAATTAACCTACAAGACAGGCCACAACATAACGTAAACTAATTGTAGTAATGAAATGACCAACAAGAAAAGCCACACCAAAAAAGTAAACTAACTGTGGTAATGAACTGATAAAGTAAACTAATTGTAGTAATGAACTATACAACAAGAAACGCCGCAACAATAAAGTAAACTAACTGTGGTAATGACCTGACCTACAACAAAAGCCACACCGATTAAGTAAACTAATTGTGATAATGAACTGACTCACAAGAAAAGCCACACCAATAAAGTAAACTAACTGTGGTAATGAAATAGTCTACAAGAAACGCCACACCATAAGGTAAACTAATTGTTCTAATAAAATGACGTACAAGAAAAGTCCCACCAATAATGTAAACTAATTGTTCTAATAAACTGACGTACAAGAAACACCACACCAATAATGTAAACTAACCATAGTAATGAACTGGCTGAATTTGAATGCTAGTTAGAGGACGAGTGTTTTAATGATAATATTCAGATCAAAAGGTTTAATAGCATAGACCTAGAACAACTAGAAAGTTCTAATGGTGTAACGTTAAGATTTCTAGTACATTCGTAGCTAGATTATGTATCCGAGATAGTTGTTTCAAGAGTAGAAATAATTGAAAGATGGTAAAGGAGGCATAGTTTTTAAGCTAGAGAGTTGAATCATTCAGTGTGTTTTCGTGAAGTATTTGTGCTTGCTATAGCTTATCGAGTTATTTTGTACAAATAAGTTGATTTGTCGTACGTCACTTAACGTCATTTGTAACGTAGGCTTACAACAACTTACGGCAGGGTACAAGTGTTAAAGCTTATAGAAACGTTAAAGGAGAAAACAATGTAATTGATTCACTTTACGTGGACTGTACATTGCATAATTTTCACCAGATAATCTAAAAAACCCGCCAACAAAAGAACAACAATACTACAATATTAATTGTGTTAATCAACTGACCTACAAATAACGTTCTAGCAAACAAAGTAAATTACTTGCGGTAATACACTGACTTACAAGAAACGCCATTTCAATTAAATAAACTAGTTGTGTTGATCAACTGACCTACAAGACCCACCATCATAATAAAGTAAGCTAATTGTGGTAATATATTGACCTACAAGAAACGATACCGTAATAAAGTATATTAATTGTGGTAATATACTGGACTACAAGAAGCGACGCCGTAATGAAGTGATTTAAAAAGCAACACCTCTGCAATGAAGTAAACCAACAAGATATCAATAATAAAGCAAACATGTTTCTTGTACAGACTTAAAACTTGTATTATTCGGGTAAATATTCATTAATAGAAAACCTTATATATAGTTTGCTTATGTAACAACAAAACTAGTCATTGCAATCCCAAAAATTAATTTGATATTTTTAGAACGTGCTGCACTGTTTTACTAACGCAAATGTTACTTAGAAAACTATATATATATATAAAATTAAAGATAAGATATTCAAATCTGATATATGAACTTTCTTTGCAGAGCATAAGACTTAAATGTTTTTATTTTTAAATTTCCTTAAAGGAAGATCTATTAAATATACGCTTATTTAAAGAACTTGTGTACTTGAAGTCAAATTTGATGTACAAGTTTCAGGTTATAAAGTGTTTATACTTGAAGTCAGATTTGATGTATGAGTTGCATGTATTAAAGTGTTTATACTTGAAGTCAGATTCGATGTACGAATTTGAGGTTAAAGGGAGTTTATACTTGAAGTCAGATTTGATGTACAAGTTTCAGGTTATAAGGTGTTTATACTTGAAGTCAGATTTGATGTATGAGTTGCATGTATTAAAGTGTTTATACTTGAAGTCAGATTCGATGTACGAATTTGAGGTTAAAGGGAGTTTATACTTGAAGTCAGATTTGATGTACAAGTTTCAGGTTATAAAGTGTTTATACTTGAAGTCAGATTTGATGTATGAGTTGCATGTATTAAAGTGTTTATACTTGAAGTCAGGTTCGATGTACGAATTTGAGGTTAAAAGGAGTTTATACTTGAAGTCAGATTTGATGTACAAGTTTCAGGTTATAAAGTGTTTACACTTGAAGTCAGGTTCGATGTACGAATTTGAGGTTAAAGGAAATTTATACTTGAAGTCAGATTTGATGTACAAGTTTCAGGTTATAAAGTGTTTACACTTGAAGTCAGATTTGTTATACAAGTTTCAGGTTACAGGGTTACTTATTCTATTTGAACACATCAGGGTTCCACGTTTTTTGATCTAACTGATGAAAACGGTGAAAGAACCATAATCACCTGACTGATACGAATTATCTTATGAAAACTTTATGTTATCATTACAGTATTTCTGTTAAGTTAAAATAGATAAATACGTTATTTTTAAGTTACCACGTAACGAAGATTGGTTTTGGTATAATATAATTTTCACATTACACATATCAGCCAGTTTTTTGTCGTTTCGCGTGGGATAAATTACGTTTGATATTTTCGGGTGGTGCCACTTTAAGGTACTCTCTACGCATACTTAATATGATGTATTGTGACTTCTTGGGCATTCAAAGCATGATACGTATGAAAGGGCCTGTCACGACATATAGCGTAGAAATATATAACGTACAATGTAAATAAGGCCACAAGTATGGCCGTAAAATCTCATTACTTTGGACCCAAAATTGTGGCTCAAAAATACGTGATTCTAATTACAATTATATGTGCATGAATAAAATTGAAAATAAAAAAAGCAGCATGTCGCTGTTTAAAGTTGTTATATTTATTGCTAAGTAGAAGTATTTGTCTTTTAAAACAATCATAACTATACTTGTGATGATTTTTTTACCTTATGTGAACATGTAGAATACATATATACTGTAACCTGTAGAATATGATAAAAAAAATGAATGACAGGGTTACCTAGAATAATATAAAATAATCTATTTTTTCTAAGAAATAATGATAAAAGTATGTGTGTAATTGGAATAATGCATCAGGTAAATACTCACCTAAGTACATATAAAGTTTCATTTGTATCGTGGCTGTAGTTAAACTGCTTAGAACTTATAGTCCGAAACGACTATTTTTAGTTGGTCATAGTAAGATTACTGTTACATAATCACAAAGCTCTTGCAAAAACTGTCGTGGAATTGTGCGGCATGTCTTGTAAAATATTATATTTAATAAGTTTTTATAAGTTATTGTAAGTTTTTTTATCTTTTTGTTACAGATAAGTTTGTTCCTTTGTTTTATGATTGTAGTGTTCGATTGAACAATATTAGTATAATAAAACCCATTGATTAAAAGGGGAAAGCAGTAAAAAAGATCCATTCAATGTGTGAATAGTGGGATACTTAACATTTTACCTAAAAAACGGTATAAGTAGCAAGAAAATGCAGGTTTCAAATAAACAGTATATCAAACTACGATATTTTAATGGTGTCTATTTCACATCAAAGCAAAGACTTGGGAGAATTTAATCATGACCTTAAGATGTGTTCTTCAGTATACATAGTTTAACAGTGTGGTATTCTGGGTAAATTGTTCTATCAATGAAAATGCGATAGGAGAAACCTTGTTTGTAAAGAATATAAGTGAGCACGAAATGTTGTAATGTTTAATATATATATTCTATTGTATACAGTGATCCGTGAAGACTTGTTTGGAATATTGTATTAGGAGATGGACAATTTATAACGTCGTTCAGAAAGTATCTGTTTTTAGAAAGAAAAAATGAAATTTAACGTTTAATTAACGATATCTTTATTTAAATTCATGTAATGCATGTTCTTTGTACTGAAATAACTTTTTTTTCAGTGTAAGTTTTGGTGGATAAATAATAATTAAATTTAGCATTGTCAAGAAACTATTCCTGCAAATTCAAATATATACAATGAGCATCTGTGGGCTGAAGCTTCCTTACAGAGGCATTTCTTATACCTGATAGAAAACATTTTGGTCATACTGCACAAAATGTTATGAAATTAAAATATTAACAACCTGTAGGGTTTCGTTTAGCACAGAGCATTTTTTAACATAGTGAATGGGCGAGAAAAGCGCCACCTAGTAAAGAAACTTTTTCGCCTAGTAAATGGAAATTTAAGGTATTGGGCAACAATGTTTTTTTTTTTTAACTTTTGCTATAAAACTAATAATACTTTTACGGATATTTCAGAAACACAAAAATAAATATTTTTTGATAAATCACGACTTATTTATCTACCGTATAATGGGTTTTATAGTTGTAAACAGATAATGTGTATCCTTTGTCGCCCAGTAGAATTTGCTTAAAAATGCTCTGGTTTAACATGAAATAATAATGGTTTTTAGTTCATACTATCGTAGAAACATTTATTTTCATTAACATAAAGTATAAGTTTAACAGGATATTTTGAGATTTATCCAGGGTAAAGACATGAAATGAGGCTAAACTTTTATGTTGGCAATGTGAAGATTTTACTTCAGAAAACTCAAAAAGTATAAAAAACATCCATTTATACTGAAGCAGATCTATGAATTGTGTGATAATGAATTAAACAGAATTTGCCCACGTGATTCTTTTTTGAGTTATTAACAGGGTAATTAGCCCTTTTCATAATCATCTGTATTACTGTACAAGAAACCAAATATCACGTGAGCGTCAGATACATATGGATAATCTTTCCTTATACATTCAAAAACTTTATTCGTCTGTCAAAGTGAACTTCAAATTATTTTCTGATTCATAAACTAGAATTTATGCAAAATGTATTCAGAGAAAAATGAAAGAGTTTTCGTTTTTTTTTTTAGTTTTTCTTAACTACTGGTTGTAAATTCCTGTACATTATTTTGAAACTGAATATTTTTTTAAACCTAAGTGAACCAAGTTATATCCTAATTCAAACTTTCAACCCCAGTATGCTTTAATAGCAAGAAGTAAGCCTATTACAACTGGAACGATGCAGTCACAATATATAATCACATATAGCTTAGTAATCTAAGTATGCTTTAATAGCAAGAGGTAAGCTTACTCCAACTGGAACGATACAGTCACAATATATTATTTTAAAGCTATTACTAAGCTATATGTTCTTTCAGGTTTCTAGCTGTTGAGATTATCTGTAGAAAGATTACTTAAAGTTTTAAGTGACATTTTTTTACTTTTCTTCTCCATGTTTATTTATACGGCATTAAAATATAAATATAATTATGTTAATTTTTTTCTGGTTCAACAGGATGGAAAAGTCTCCCTTTCGTTTGCAGCAGCAAACGGACACCACGAAGTTTTAAGCTTTCTACTACGTGCGCCTCATGATTCTTACAATCTTATGGAAGACAAAGCGGTGAGTTTGCTATCCACTCACTAGTGACTTTTACATATAGGCTTAAATATTGATTCCCAAAGCTTAAAATGTCATGCCAACAGAAGGCTTAACTACAAATTGGAATAGTGGATGTGGGTTACTATTTTTCATATCTTTTCATATGTTAACTGTTGGGTTAAAAATTAGCAATCCCTGAATCCTTTATTTACTAATTCTGGAATCTAATCAAAACAGTTCACGAAATCCTTAACAGAATATCTGTTCGTCTCCTTTATTAATACACAGTTCATTCAAACACTAGTTTTATTAGTCAAATTAACAATCTCAAATATTCACCACTCCCCAATATAGTCATGTATTTTCTTTTTTTACAAGAATAATGTTAAGTTTACTTAATATATTAGTGCACACATTTTTAATAATTATGAGTCAGGAAAAATAAATGTTTAGTAATTACAAAGTCTTATGACGCTTGTAAACTTTATTAAAGGTTATAGAATTGTTTTGTTTGTTTGTTTTTGAATTTCGCGCAAAGCTACACGGGGGCTATCTGCGCTAGCCGTCCCTAATTTAGCAGTGTAAGACTAGAGGGAAGGCAGCTAGTCATCACCACCCACCGGCAACACTTGGGCTACTCTTTTACCAACGAATAGTGGGATTGACCGTCACATTATAACGCCCCCACGGCTGAAAGGGCGAGCATGTTTGGTGGGACGGGGATTCGAACCCGCGACCCTCAGATTGCAAAAGGTTATAGAACTCTACTTTGTTTGAAACTTATACAAATTAACAAAGAAGCATTGAATTTCAGTTAAATAATAATAATCTGTACGATTTACGATTTTTGCAATCATAGCGCACTTTAATGGTAAATGTTAAAGAAGATACACTACAAGAACTGATTAATTTATGGATTTAGTAATAGTAGCAAACCTTAGAAATAAATCACGACGCCACACTGAATGAGTAGTTCACACTATTTACTTATGAGTAATATTCATAGTGAAGCAATTGTTTTTGGTGAGCACTCCACTACTTATAATACCTTCCAAGACTTTTTAATAACATAATGTACAATCTTCAGCACATCAGTAAAAATGTTACAATTTGTTCGTGCGTTTAAAAAGAAATATTGTGATGTTTAGTGTGACTATACTCGTTTTATGTAGCCATTTCTATGCATTACTTCTTGTAGCTTAACAAGTGTATTTGAAGATTAAAAAGCAAAGATTAAAATATATAACACCCACGCCTAAAAGTATTATCTTTAATTAAAAGTAAAAAAAAAAAAATATGTGCTTAAGTAACTTATGGTGAAGAATTCTAATATATTACAGAGACGTTATAGAATGCTAAACATTTTAAACTTTCAATTTTGCAACATATTTTAAGTTATGTATATCATTTCGATAAAAATGGACTTTTCACAGTTCTTGATGGATCTGATGACGTGTGCAAAGACCCATAATAATAGGCCAATGCTGGAGTTTGTACTTTTGTCTCCAGCACCAATAGAGATTGCTGTGAAGGTAGCTCGTCAATACCAGAACCTAGCGTTAAAGGAGAAGGAAAGATATTGTGACTTGGAGTACATGAGTTCCTTCTGTGACAATATCGCTTCAGATCTTATGACAGTTACTGCAGCCAGCAACCTGACCCCTACTCTTCTTCGGGCCCTGGATGTTAACCAGACAGCTTTTATGGATGTCTTGATCGAGCAAGAACGAAAGGAAGTGGTTTCTCACCCCTCGGTCCAAAAGTACCTAACTGAACTCTGGATGGGGGGGATAGACTGGCCTCAGTGGCGAATTGTACTGCTTTTCCTAGTTTTTCTTCTCTTTCCGATTGTATGGATACTGTGTTCCTTACCTTTTGGTCATCGTCTTCCCAACATCCCTATTATTAAGTTTCTATCGTACCTTATTTCACATATTTTCTTTGTGGTTCTTCTGAGCTTCACTATCATTAACCCGTGGGTCCCCCTCTGGAGAAATACAAATTTGATTCCCCAGTGGCACGAAGGCCTGCTTATCGTGTGGGTTGCTGGAATGGTGCTTTCTCATATTGCCAACCCTAAGGAAAAGGGGGGATTTGCTTGGACCAGAGTTATAGTCATGTTCTTTTGCATGCTTTCCATTCTTGTACATTGTTCTGCTATTTTCATTCTTGAAATCGACACTAAATTAATCCTTCTGTACATACGAAACCAACTACTCGGTGTGTCACTTTTGCTTTGTTTCTTAGAATTCCTGAATTTTCTTAGTTTTCATCATCTTTTTGGTCCCTGGGCTGTCATTATTAAAGATCTAATGAAAGACCTTCTAAGATTTTTGGCTATTCTTGCTTTGTTTCTCGTTGGGTTTTCACTTCACCTTAGCGCTATCTATCAGCCAGTTTTTGAACCAATTTATCTCACAAATGCTAGCCTACCCACTTTCGGTCAAGAGTTCCAGTCACCCATTAATACATTTGAGATGCTTTTCTTTGCACTCTTTGGGCTAGTTGAACCGGATTACATGCCACCATTGTACTTAAGCCCTTCTTTCTCCAAAATAATTATAAAAGTTGTGTTTGGAGTTTACATGACGGTGACGGTTGTCGTTCTCATCAACCTCTTGATCGCCATGATGTCAAATACCTACCAGAGAATTCAGGCCAGGTCTGACACCGAATGGAAATTTGGTCGGGCCAAGCTCATTCGCAGAATGATACGAACTTCATCCTCACCCCCACCTGTAAACTTCTTCACTGGGTTTTGGTTCATGATCAGAAAATGTCGTAGATTTAAAGGTAAGATAATAAATTTATTTACATATCTATAAAAATACTATTACAGTAAATATTATTGTATAACATTAAAACCCGAGACGAATTGGATCTGTGTACATATATTTGATTGTACAGTTAGGATGTTTAATTTACTATTATCTGTTTTAATAACTGAATGTTGAAAGCACAGCCTTCATTTTACAAAATATTTTGGTTATATATGTTATTTCCGAGATAATGTTGGAAAGTTACAAGATAAGGAACGAAAAATCACCTTCAAAACTACATCATTTAACTATTTTATCATTCTCATAATCATTAATAAGATATTCTGAGTGAAAGTAAAGAAGAGCATATAATAGTATATCAATTACACTTTAATTTATATAACTCGTACTAACGAGTCCTTTCGTCCAATACTAGAACTCGTCAGGCCGGCTGGGATGCGACAGACAAAGTAGTGGTTGAAACGCTATTTATATTAGCAAATTTCCAGACAACAACTGTTATGGTAGAATAGCTGATGATATAGAAATATTAACAACAAAATGAGCCCTCCTGAGAAGTAATTAGTCACTCTACCTAGGTTTTTTTTTATCCTCCAACATACAAACACATATATACAGCACATATGTCGTTATTTAAGACCAAATATATCATAAAATATGCTCCACAGTGGTTTAACGATAAACCTGAGGGCTTGTGGCTCTAAAGATCGGGTTTCATTGCCCGCGGTGGGTGGAGCACAGACAGCTCACTGTGTAGCTTTATACTTAACAACAAACAAACAAAAATATAGCGTGTCTCTTCAAGCTTGTAGTGACACTACCTTAATAGTGATATTTTTTTGTAAAATGCGTGTATATTCGTATGATAAAAAACAACAGGTAAAGTTGAATGTATTTGATAAGGTTTTGTTGTTATTATTATTAAGCACAAGACTATGCAATGGGCTATCTGAACTCTGCCCATCGCGGATTTCGAAACCTGATTGATTTTAGCGTTCTAAGCCCCCAGACTTACCGTTGAGCTACCGGGGGGGCTTGACGAGGGAACACGATCATGTTTCAAAACTTCTGAAAAAAAAGCTTTAGTTCCTCTAGGAAAACTGAAAAGAAGTAATAAACCAAGAAACCATAATCCAAAAACATAAGGTTGGTTGGCGGTTCGGAATTAGGGACTGCGCAACTCTACAATTTGAAGGAGAAAAGACGGTGCGAAATTCTTCTAGCGAGTAAATAAATAACTAAGACTTTTCACGTGTAAATTAACATATAAAAAAATTTAAATATTAAATAAATTACAAAACAAGAAGTACACAAAATGGAAATTAGGGAAGCATTATTAACGAGAATACACAAACCTAACATAAATATTTATAAAAGATATCCCCTTTTCCTTTATCGAACGCCTTCTACAGAGGTTGAGTACTGTATTTTAAAACGATTTTAGAGACTTACTACGTTCTTACCATAGTTCATGTCCAGTTCGCTCATTCTCTATCTGACAACCGCTCTGCAGGGTAATTTCCACTGCAAAAGGCTCCATCGTAAGGTCGTCATGTCCAAAGCATACCACTCCTTCATATTTTCTTTTCATAATTCATCTAGTATACGAGGAAAACAATTTCCTAGCGCCAATTTCATGACTGGTAATACCCGATTCACCTTCCAGCTGCTTTAGGTATGCGACGGTTGAACGGAAGGTATGACTGAAAGCCTTATCTTGCTGAGCCAATACCTTGTTAACCTCGTTTCCAGATGGAAACCTTTCTTTATTATTTTATGTACTGTTTCCTGGGGTACGTTGGGGGGCCACAGACATTTCTGTTCGTGGGTTCTCACCTGTTACAAGACACATCCCTTTGCTTACTATGGCAAGGGGTACGACTTGTTCCAGGTTTCTTTATGGATGGTCCAGATACCTCTAGTTGATCCACATTATTTTGTTTTATAATGCCGTTAAGTACAAGGTATATTACTTTCTTGTAAATGCTAAATCCCCGATCCGGATACATTTTTATGATCTAAATGTATAAATCTTTTACACTGGAAAGGGCCGTTACATACTCTTCCCAAAAGCAATTAATTTTTGGTGGCACCATACTACTTACGAAACGCGAAACATGGTCAAAATGTAATTCTTATATATTCCGTTTCACCGGGACTTTATGTCACATGTAACTGTCACGTGATATTTTGATTGACATATTCAAAATAATTTTAATATAACATACTCAACCCTTATTATGTTGAAAAACACTTACTTTTTTACATTAAGTTTTAGTATGTTGCTTTTTGGTGAATGCTATTTTATTACTGTAGCAAAGTCATTTAATACATGAATAAATATTGTCTTTAGCTAAAACATCTTTTATTTATTTTTAGTTTCGTCTGTTAAGCTTGCTTAACTTCGAGATTACAAAACTAAGTATTGTCAAGAAAGAAGTCCATCAAAGGCTGAATGCTTTTAATAAGATTTGTGAAATTAAATATGTGTGTGTTTTTGTAAGCATATAAACATGGCAAAACTACGTTTCTTCAATTTATCGCAGTTAGAAAAGCTCAGACTGTTCGACCAAAGGAGCGTACCTTATCAGTCAACATTCCTGCACCAGTTAGACCAGTAATTTCAAAGGGTGCCCGACGCCGATGGCAGATGGCTCTCACATCTGTTGGTAAGAAAATATTATATTTGGCTTAGGATTTAAAAAATAAATAATGTAATTTTTATAAAAACATAAATCAGCTATCACGATAATTAGTATTACATTTTGCCCAATAATTAAAATATATATTTATTTTATGTCGCTATAAAATTCAGGCTAAGAAAAGTGCGATAATTATCTCATTAAAAAAGGATTATCTCCTTATATGGCTATAAATATTCTACAATAAACCGTACATATTGATAACAGAAAGGTAGAAACATATCTGTTTTAGACAAAATTATTAGAACCGAACCTGTTACAGGATTTATGACGTAATTTTTAAAGTTAATGAGTGTATTATATTAAACATGCAGTAGTTACTAGTTTCTTGTTTGGGAACAGCTTGACCTTTGTTTTTATGCTGATTGAAGTCATAATCGCTCTTGGAACAATGATTATCGCTTCCTCTAGGAGTCATTATTAGTCACGAGTGTCGCTCTCACTGATAATTAGTGTCATTTATAAAAACAAAACAAAAACAACAGATAATCAGTCTGTTGAATTTTAAGAGTTTGATTCTGGGTTATAGTGTATTTTACATGAAGAAATCTTATGTTGAAAAGAAAAAATCTTGACTTGTTTTTATAGTTTGGAGAGCTGGAATGAAAGACAAAAGTCATGACTTATTTTTAAAAGTCGGTATTTGAGTAAAAGTAAACTTTCAAAGAGCTCATTAAAGATTACCTATGCTATAACTACTTTGAAAACTACTGTTTACTGTAACATTATATCAGATCTTGAAAAATGCGGTACATGGTGTATTTTATAAATCTGGTACGCACAAGAAGGGCATTAATGAAAAATTTGTTTACATTTATAAACTTTTAATGAGATATTCGTAATCACCATGAGCAATAACTCAGTTGTATATTTCCGAAATTCTACAAAATTATAAAATTAAATAATTTCATGTAACACTTTTTCATTAATATACTGTCTTAAGCCTCGTTACTCAAGCCAGCTATCCCTAGATAAATTAAGTTAGTGTTAAATTAACTGATAAATTAAAAAGCGACAAGCGTAAAATAACAAATAAAATGTTAATATTTCCAGACCACAATGTATTGAAGAAGATAAAAGTTTTTATCTTACATGCCCATTTTAAATTTAGTCCTTTTGGAGGTGTCTGAAAAATTTTACCCTATTTTGTATAGTAATAAAAGCGAGATGTTATACGGTGTTAATTATATGTAAAAGTAGATTATAATACAAAAGAGCTGTTGATCAACACTTTAAGTAATGCCGTTCTTCAGATTTCAGGAACTTAAAACTGCGCATGTGTGGATTTAAATGAGTATAATATATATGAAGAAGAGCATATGCTTAAAAAAGTTTCGTAATCTTTAGGTTGCTGTAATTCTATATATATTTGTGTATTCTACAGTTAATTTTTAGTTCACAGCACCTACAAAATGGGTAAAATTACTGGTTGAAGTTTTAAAGTGGGAACTAAAGTTCTTTATTGGCAAGCATACAATTTTTTATCATAATAAAAACCTCTATTTCGAGTTTAAAACATACAAAATTATTATATTACTTTATATTCTTACACAATGAATCTTTAACGTTTACCAGCAGGTGCAACTCGTTCTGGAATTGAAGCTTCGGTTTTTGAGCTGAGAGAAAACACCATAGCTCGTGTTGTAGACTGGCCTCCAATCGTGGCAAAGTTCCTGCAGACAAAGGGGATTGTTGACATGTCACCCGTGTTTCGAAAGGAATAAAATCATAAAGAAACAACAGTCTGTGATGGAAATCTTCACTTCACAGAACTTGTATACAGTGACTTCTTCGAAATAGAAGCAGTGAAATATTTAGTAAAGTTATTATTCAGGATTAATTAAATTATAATAATTTCTGAAAATCAATTATTTAACGAGTCCCCATTCTTAATTTCAGCGAACAGAGAATTCCAATTTATGGAAAACGAAATGTGCGACTACTAAATACATATTAGGTGTAGTTAGTACTAATTTTCATACTACAATGCTATAAGAACAATAAACAAAAATTAATTATTCACGTGAACTCTCGATATCTAAACCAAATGTTCTTAAGGGTTAATTTGAAAAATCACACATTACTAAAATAAACTTCTTCACAGCAGTTTGCCAAGTTTTCTCAATTTTTATACAGTTAATTTATTTGTACATCCAATATCTGAGTAACTCATGTAACAATCTATCGGCAACTGTTATTTCAGAGTACATTAAACCAAAATTATATATACACATATATATCATTAGCATACGAATAATAATGAACACGTCAATAATGATATTAAAAGCACAGCGACAAAAATAAATGAGCGAACACGTCGGGTTGGAAAACCTTACTGCATCTATTTTCATAAAAAAAAACTAAATGCATTCAAAATGTAGTTATCTGAATGCGCCCCTAGTGGCTCAGCGGTAAGTATGAGGGCTTATAACGCTAAAATTCGGATTTCAATACCCACGGTGAGCACAACACAAATAGTCCTTTGTGTAGCTTTAGATTTGATGACAAACAAACAATACCTGAAGGTCCACCTGAGAGCATTGCGTGTTTGAAAGCTTCGTAGTAATACTTATCAGTACAGTGTATTAACTGTTTGCATATCGTACAAAACTGATTTTACGTTAATAATTCCACCCATGATTTCAACAGAGAATTTTAAAGGAAGTCAAAAAGTCATTAATGGTTATTATTACTAGCCTATAGTTAGTCTGTGGTTTTAAAAGTTATCTTTGCATCATTATTTAACTTTGCCCATTAGTTTGCTGGTCTCAGCCCTCCAGTAGCTCAGGGGTAAGTTGAAGGATTGACAATAATTAAATTCAAGGTCCACTCCCTGCGGTGGGGCAGCAAATTTAGCCCAGTTTACGTTGAAGATCAACAAACAAACTTTTTTTTCAGCATAAAGCTACATATGGGCTATCTGCGTTGTTTCCGTCATGAGGATCGAACCCATACTTTTGCTGTGGTAAGCCGGGGAATCCCATTTTTAATACTACTGTTGCTTCGTGTTTAACCTTTAAAGCTGGGTTAAGCCGAGAACTTTGTTGTAAATAAAGATGACTATAAAAGACTTGAACTATAGTTTCATGCTATTCAACAGGTGATGTTATTTAGAGGAATTTGAGCCCGGCAATAAGATTATGTAGAGTTGGACTATCAGGATTTTATTATTCTGATGAAGAAAGTTTTAAACCTTATTGTTTTAAAACTTATTAACATAAAATGTCTGTGTCAAAAACTGTAAGATGATTCGCGCCTATCAAACCGACAATGACACAAAAAAAAAGCGATTAGAAAATGGTACATAATTACAAATTATGATATTGAGAAAACGATATTAGATAATTAGCAAATGATGCTATAATATATTTATTGCTATAAATTATTTCAAATATTAACACAAAGAATTGCATTTGTAGAATTTTTATCATACTCTTAAAATTAACAATCGCGCAAACATGCTTGTAGTAAATTTACTGGTAGAAATAATTGACATTATACATCAGTTTCCAACTGGTCTTGTGTTGTAACCCAACCAGCCTGAGGAGCTCCTGTATTAAGTGCAAGGCCTTATCAGCAGCAATCTAGTTGAAATGCTGTTGTAAACTATTCTGACTAGACAGTCATACTGGAATAGTAAAAAATCACGTAATTAATGTTAAACATATTCACCATTACTTTCTCATTACAAAAACAAACATACTGTTACCTCGTAAACGATTGACATGTGTAGTTAAACAGTACCTCGTTTAGTGCGTGGAGGTATTCATAGTACGAAAAGAAAAATCATTTTTATTGGCATCTTATACAGTAGATAAGAACTTTTCAAAAAAAAATTTTTTTCGTAAACTTTAGTAAATATCAATATTAATTTTTTGTTGACAACTTGGAATTATTATTGCAATTGCAGGTTTTAAGGCTTTATATATAAGGTTGAATAAGTTATATTAAAATGATTTTGAATATGTAAATCACGTAACAACCACAACTGATATAAAGTCGCGGTGGAACGACATGTATCAGAACTAAATTTTAACATTGTTTGGCGTTTCCGTAGGTACTTAAAAATTGCTTGCTCTTTCCAACATGATGTTCATACACTCAGATAGTGGATTTAGAATCTCCAAGACGGAGATACCCTTCGTACTTAATGAAATTGGAAAACAAAGGAATGTGGATCAACATTGTATAACGAACCATACAGAAAAGGATCTGCAACAAGGCGTACTCCAACCATGGTAAGCAAAGTATTGTGTCTTATAACAAGTGAGAACCCACGAACATAAAGGTCAGTAACAAAAGCTATCGTGCCCCATGTAACAGTCTGTAACATAGTCAACAATGATGACCATCTGGAAAAGCAATGCAAATCATGTGTACACAAGTTGCTTTCACATCCTATCCATTCAGCCGTTTGACGCCTCAATCAGTTGTAGAACGAAATGAGTATTCATGCTACTCTATACAAAGACATAACAGTCACTTGGATTTCTGTGCAATCGGACTATTGAAACTGTTGGTGGGAAACCGTCACCGTTGTACACCAGATGGATTACAGAAAGCCTATAGGGAGGAGGGGTGCGATTACGGCATGACAGCCTTACGACGACGTCTTTTGCAATGGAAAGGACGCTGAAGGGCTATTATCAAGAAGCACAATCGTCAGACAGAGTAGGATTGAACATGGTGAAGTGAACTGTAACAAGTGATGAGGGTCCAAAATAATTTTAATATAATGTATTCAACCTTTATGTTTTCCCTTGACATTGTTAGGATTAATCTAAATTGACTAAAACGCAGGATATGTTATTTGGATTGTAAACAAAAATACTGTTAACAGCGAGAGTATCCAACTAATAATTCAATGCAATCTCATAATTAAAGTTTTAAATTTTCTGGTTTATTGATTTATAAAATGTAAGTATTTATAGTCAGGTTATATGTGTTCCTTAACATGTATTTTTAAATAATTTTATTGCTATATGGTTAACTTTGTTTTGATCATAAGTTTTCAATGATTTCAAAATTGCAGCCGCCATTTTAGTTAGTAATGCTGCAAAATTTAAATATACGGACGTCTAGAACTATATTCCGTATTTCATAAGAGGTAGTAATACGCCCTTTTTAAAGTTTTGTTTAAAGTTGAGATATACCAGACTTTAATGCATTCACAATTATATTTCCAGAGTTGCACTTCCTTGTTATTTTGTCTTTGTTTGTTGTTAGGCGCAAAACTACACAATAGACTATTTGTGCTGTGTGCACCAAAGGTATCGAAGCCCCGTTTTAGCGTTATAAGCCTATAGATTTACCGTTGAGCCACTTGGGGGGGGGCATCATTTTGTCACCCCCATATAATAATAAAAATGTAATCTTCTAGTTTGAAAGACTTTGCTATCCATACCTTATCATCTAAAGGTTATTGCTGTGTATGTTCAGTACTTTTATTAGTGTAAACTAACTTTACAACTTAAACCAGTCACTCTAGCTTTTGAAGTTTCATAAGAGAGCAAAGGTTTTTGAAAATATCATAAAAACTACCAAAATAGTTATCAAATTTTAGATTTTTTTCATCGTATTGGGAAAACTCTGAAATAAATATTAATGATGCACATCGCTTAATCAAATTAGTCAGTTTTGTACATTATGTATTCTAATGGTCAAGCCTAGGTATTTCAACTGCTTGAAAGGACAAGGTGGTTTAAAACCACAAAATGGTCAAATTTGTTGAAAATAAAGCTTATATCGAAGGACATTTTTCACCCTAGTTTCACATCCAAGTATTGGCCGTTCTGGATTTATGAAGTCATAAACTGTGCCATGTCCTGTGTCTAGAAAAGCACGATCTCGTAGATTTGGTGTGTAGACGTTTTTCATTTAAATCCAATTTTCTGTGCTAGTTGTAATCCTACGGAAGCAAGTAACATGACAAATGTAACTTTTTTAAATTTTAATAGGCCTCAATTCTGTGAAGCCATGGTACAGTTTTATTTTGTTTTTCCACGTTCCACTTAATTTGTCCACTTGGGACTCAAAATAAAAGGCGTGTGAAACTACCATTTCAAATCTATCTTCTGTCACCCAAAAGTCACCATCCAAGAGACCTGTCGTTCAATACCAAAATTTGCCAGTTCGGCTAGATAATGAGACAGACACTATTTATATATGCAGTATAATACTGTAAAAGATACGGTTTAAACACCGAAAGGTGGCGAAGTATTAGAAAATTATAGGCCTACCGTTTACGTGATTTCTATCAAAAGGTATAGGTCTGCTGTTTTCTAACGCTATCTATCTTACGAAGACTTGTTACATGTTTAGAATGTGTGTATCAATAACAAGTGATGAGATGGAGCAACTAATATTTTACTAATCGCCCAAATCTAGGATAAATGTAAATAATAAGAGACGTTACTCCAGCGGCAGAAGTAAACAAGCATGACCTTCACCTAATTTCGAGAAGCTTTTATAGCGTGCCCAGAACATTGACCCGTCAACAACACCAGGGGTGTGTAAAAAATGTATAAGACTAAGTTCCTGTGTTCTATATCAGTATGATAAATAAAATACCTCCATGATTATATCTTTATTGATGTTATTTTAAAACGTAGTACTATATCAGTATAATAAAATATTTTCACGATATTTGTTTTGTTTCATCTACAAACGATATTATTATGATACAAGGGATTATTACTTTCTACATAACTTAAATCACTATGAC